AGATGAATAATAATGTCAGTTTTTTACCTTTGTTAATTATTATACAGGAATCTGTAATGAACCCACTATCTCGATTTGTAATTGTTGTATACAGAATTCTAGATACCCAAGAAACGTACTTATAAGGCATTTATGTGGCACACAGGATGTTGAATGACGTAAGATAAACATTCTTCCTTTCATGAATCGTGAATTCGTGACCTTACTTAACATTCCTTAAGGAAGATTGAATTACATTTGAACAGGAAAGCAAAAAATACGCAGGCATCCTTGATCACTGTAACAGAAATTAAATGAACCTACCTATCTATTCTTAATTTTTGTGTGTGTCGGTTAAACCGTTGCCACCGGTTAAACTACCTAAGACAGGGGTCGGCAACCTATTGAAACGGAAGAGCTAAAAATTACAATTTACAAAATTTCCCAATTCTTAAAGAGCCACAAATAATTTTTGATTCAATATTATAGTTTTTGGCTATATACAGGGTCCTGCAACAGTCCGTCGGTTTTTCCTACATAGCTGATAGATACCTGGTAAAAATATTGGTGGTTGCGGATCTACAGAAATTATTTTTGAATGTACAGGGTGTTCCATTTTTACGATGTCAATTAATAACTGATCTTTTTAAATAGAACATCCTGAATATTTGGTTGTTTCAATGCCGTTTGTTCAAAGTGCTATAACTATTCTTTTTCAAATGGAACTACCACTATTTTATTTCGCTATTCGCTTTTGTCTTCTCTTAAATGTTTATAAGGGGTGCCCTGTGCTTAAACTCCGCAGTGTTTAGGTTATTCAATATTTTTCACAAAAGTACCTACTCATTAATTAATTACGTGTTTATACATCGGAGTAGGCTGGCTATAATAAAAAAAACAAAAGAATACCAGAAAGTAAACAAGTGTCAAAAATTAGATAATTATTTGCTGCAAGTATACTTTTGATACAAAATAAGATTAATTAAAAAGGCGAATTTCGAACAAATGAACTAATTTCTTTAGATAAATACGGAGAGCCGCAACTTTATAGGTATCAAAAGAGCCGCAGGTTGCCGACCCCTGATCTAGGATCACACGTCACACCTGGCAATTTTGATACAAAATAAAAAGGTCGTTAACCTCTTTTCTTTTAAATTCTGACGTTTGAAATTTGTTCTCAATGGTTAATCGATAACTTATCGATAATTATCGATTAATAGATAGTCAATCGATAAATTAAAAAAAAATGGTCGACCGGTCAACAAAAAAAGAATTTTTTGCGCATGGGATTTACACAATATATATTCTGACTATAATAAGCAAAAATAAATAAAAAGTGCGATTAAGACATCGAAAATATTTGCTTTTACAAAAGTTACAGCGATTTGATTGAAAGCTTTCAGGGGCGAAAATTAAAGCTGGAATCTTTGTTTTCCCTTAAAAAAAAAGAAAAATGGAGGGTGATATTTTTCCGCGGTTACTTAGCAAAGAGGAAAAAAATCCTGGAACAGTTTTAAGGCAATAGTCCATGGTTTCCCGTTCAGTGTTTCCTGGGAAACCATAGAGCTGAAAATTATGACGAGCTGACAGGATTTGGTTTTGTATCATGGGGTATAGAATGTCTCTAAAGAATAAAGATGCACAGGTTACATTCTCATTTAGATCAATTTAAGGATAATATGGGAGCTTATTCGGAATAAGGACAACACTGTCAACACTTTCTCGAGACAATGGAACTTAGGCACCTTCCCAAGGCCAGGAAGTTGGAAGCATGATGGAAGATCAGATTCAGTTGAACATGACAAAAACAGCAAAACTGTTCCATTTTTAAACATTTAGACTCTAAGATAAACAAATTATAAATGTAGAAACGTTACCATTTAATAAATCATGCCTATGTAAGTAGGATTCTATAGGTATTTTTATTTTTTGGTTTTTTGCATTTTTTTCACACAAAAACAAATACATAACCATTTTTTGTTCTAATTCTTATTTGTGGCTATAGAAGCAATAAAAATAAGGTATATATGTCCCATGCGCAAAAATGCTGTAGACCGGTGTAATTTATCGAAAATGTTAAAGGATTGGTCGATAAACCTATAATTACCGATAATCTATCGATTAATCTCACAACTAAACTATTAAGATAGATAATTATCGAGAGAATTTTTAACGACATAAACTTTTCAATGTTTAGGTATACCAGTTTACTTCCAACAAAAGCGATGTAAGAGCATTGTTGAGTTGCCATATGATCACAATTCACAACCTACTGCTGTACTCATTTTTGAGGATTATCATCCACTTGATCACCTTTGATTTCAGACAACTTGAGCATCAAAAGATCCTGTTTTATTTAAATTATCTCTCGCAATATCAATACCAAAAAAACAAAAATGTTAGCGAATGTACGCATGGATGATGTAATATATCGATTGAGAATATATATCGATGAGATTTATGAAAAAGTATCGATAGTTTTCTCTTGATAATTTCCGCTACTTATTTATTAATCGATAAATATCAGAGATAGACAATTTTCGTGGCAATAATAATAATAATCGATTATTATCAGCAGCTAACAATCATTATTAATTATTTTCAAAAGTTATCGATAATTATAAAAAGTTATCGATAATTATCAAACGTTATCGATCATTATCGAAAATTAGCCTTACGATTTATCGATAATTGTCGATTATTATCGAAAGTTAACGATAAGTGATTAAAGTTATCGATAATTATCGATAGTTATCAATTAATGATTAATCGATAATTATCAGACTGAACAGACTTATCGATAAATCGATAACAATTTCATTTATCGCTCAGCTCTAGTAGGTATACGAATTCACGTAAACTGGGACCGATTTATTTGTGCACAATGCTGCATGGTTATAAAAAAAGCTGATTCGAGAAATTTAGTTATCAAATGTGAATGTGGAAATGATGTAGCTGCCTGCTTGCAACGGACAATATTTTGCCTTAAAATTTTTTTTGATCGTTTTTTAATAACAAAATCTCCCGCTTTCAGTAAAAATGTGGAACCTGCCTATTTTACTGCCTGTGAATAGAATGTATGAAATTGCATTCCTTCAAGGACAAGGACTGCAAGCTTCGTTCGTCTAAATGTATTATTATTTACATTACAAATTTACGCAATGCTTCTTAAGGGATCTATTTTTAGAACATTCCAATCCTATTTATAAAACCATTCCAATGATAACACAAAAAACATCCGGAGTTCCTGACATCTGACGATTAAAAAGGAAAATATTCGAATGGTCAAAATAAATGGTTTGTAATGCTGCCATCTAATGTCAATGTAACGCTCCACTTTCGATCGCCCACGGACTTTCAAACGATCGAACTGCTCCTAGCGGCGGCCAGTTGGCACATGGTCACAAACTGTTATATGGGATCCGCGCTTCTGATTTATTTGAAACTGATGTGTGAGAACCAGTAATCTGTTTGATAGAAAGCGTCTATCTGGTCTGCCCACATCAAGGATTGGTCCATCCACGTGCGTTTTTTTTCATTTTCGGACTTGTAGGAATGTTTCACACTATTTTGCGTAATCACAATGTTCACATTTAAAATTATAGTTTGACGTTTCAATCTTTGCTGCTTGCAGACCTTTTTGAAGTGTAGAACCAAAACATGAGGAAGATGTTATTGCTTACATTATTATACGAAGAATCACCAGCAATAAATTAACCGAGAACACAAGTAGCTACTTATACCTACCATCAAAGTAGGTAATCAGGTTTCTAATAATTGTACGTTAACTATAACGTCTTGGAAGCCACAGTTACGAAGGACCTATTGCATTTGACATTATTAAAATCTTGTGCAACCGAGGAAGTTGCGATTGTACTTTTACTCTCAAACGCCTGCTTTTATATCATATATGACTTAGGGTCGCAAGCGTAACGCTTGCAGCTTCCAAAATTTCATTTGGGGTATATGAACTGTCGCTATCATCCATTTTGATATGCACAAAACACACGCAAAGATGCTAATTATAATTATGCACAAAACACACGCAAAGATGCTAATTATAATTACATATGACAGGAAATGCTTTGTTTTTAATTGTCTAAGATAACTATGATTTTCAGAAAAAAAATGTTTATGAGAAAATTTTTGAATTCTTTTTTGAGGATCGCCTAAAAAATGTTGTGTGCACCTTGGCCAAAAGTGATTTGTTAGGCCTCATCTGAATTGCGGCCTCGGCTACCGCCTCGGCCACAAACAGCAGCTTCGGCCAAAAAAGGTCACTTTACGGCCTTGGTACACAAATAACTATTCTATTACAATTTCAAATTTTTACGATGATCTTGTACCTTAGACCATATAGTACATGGACTGCTAATTGTAACTAAAATATGGTCAAGGACATCGCCTGGGTATGTGAGTTTCAGAGTAAACGAGTCTGTCCGAAGTTGTCCGATGAGACACGATTTGAGACTGTCAACCTATAAATTAACAAACTTCAATTAATGAATCGCCTAGATATCCCAAAAAAAGCAAACTTATTCTTATTTGTGGACGTATAGCAAATAATAAAGAGTATTTAAAGCTTCCCGTACTACGCGGTTACTATAAAGCTGTTCTTTAAGCGATCCTAGTGGTGTTTACACGACTTTAGTTTACCCTGAGATTCACATACCCACGACTACAGTGCCCTCTACCCGTGACCATCCATTTTGTATTGAAAGCATAGGGCGAATAGCAGTCCACGTACTATATGGTCTAAGTCTTGTACACTAATGGACCCCATAGCGATATGTCTCTACCGAAGTTTGACATTGTCTCCAGAGACTCATATATGGTGGTGGGGAGGATTTAATTATTACACTCCATATTTTTAGGAACTCCATGACTTTATCTAATAGATTAGTGATCAGTAATATTTTATTAGACCTGTCTTAAAGGATTTCCAAACTGTTAGATAATTTTATTGAATGACATCATAAACAGATGACCAGACTTGAAAATGGTTAATCTGTTACAGATAGCGTCTGTCGCAGCAATTAAATTCGAATCAAAAATGAATTACCTATACAAATGTACAATGATGTACCTACAGTGATTGAATCATTAAAAAAAAATGCTGCTGCTACTCGCACTACTCGCGCAAGTGAACGCGTTTGTAAGGGTAACTGCCTTTAAAATCACCACTAACTGGACTTTTTTTAAGCAAAATGCGTACGATGTTTTTCCAGAACGTATGGAAGTCGAATATTACGATCCCACCATTTTGAACGTTTCCTGCACTAACTAAAAGTATAACCGAACAACGCGTACGTTTATTTTAACGGCAACGTTGAAGATTGATGCAACTGATGGAGATCTCGTAAGAACTGACTTACCCTACGTGCTATACTAAGTAATTTTTAGGTTTTGATAACGGGTTACAAATGGCTGAGTAATCGTTATCGCCTGGACATCCTTCAATTCAACTTGACACTCAAAGATGCAATTCGCTTCAAGTACTTTGATATAGATCGCATGATGCAATCCTGTACGACACCTCGCATCGAATGGCCTGTCATTAAAGGGGTAAGATTCAATTAGACACGCCCACAAGTCTTGTAACCATCGATGTAGGTTAAACATACATTAAGGGATTGGGTGCCTGACAGTTCTAAGTTTCCTCCGGGCATGCCAGAGGGAAGGTGGAAAATAGGGATGCGATTTTTTTCGTTCAACGGGATACATATCATGTCTCTTAACTGGTACTGTGCCCTGAAATACAAGCTTAAAATGGAATGGAAGTAATGCGATAACCACATAATATTCCTATTTACACTTTAAATACTAGTAGGATAGCAAGTTGTGGTGTTTTAATGTTAGTAATAGTAAAACACAAAGTTTGTATCTACAGTAAGTGCACACGCCACCCACATAACACCTTCACGCCTCCGTACGCGGTCATATAGTTTGATATTCGTGTGTGTAAATAAATAAAGTTAGTTTGCCCACCAGTGTAATATTTATGTACCCGTATCCAGCAACAGTGGCCCATAACGGGGGACTGTGTTTTTCAAGGCTCCGTCAATAACAAGAGCAAGATCAAGGATGCCCGAAGAAAACCCACCAAGTCACAATGGAAATACTCCTTCGAACTCTCACCGACCAGAAGACCACCACCGGCAAAATTTACCACCAGCTTCCACCGTACGAAGGACGCCCAAGCATTTATCGATCCGATTACCACGTAACAAGCAATGTAAGGACACAAACGAAAAAACTCGCAGTGTTGTTTGAAATGGACGCCGCGACATCGTGGCAAGGAGTGAAAAAGACCATTTCCACCTGGTCGAAGCCATGACCCTACTCGAACTGGCGTTCGGACCTCATAAGCCATCCGAAAAAGACGAACATGAAAACACGGCCCTCTTCATCTTTCAAAAACGTGCAATTCTCGCACACTGTTTTCTTCATTACAATGCCCAAACTCAATCTATCGTTGTAATTTTAACCACGCAATTTGCCGCTCCTTGGTTATCGGTTGTCGACCTTTGTCTTTTTCTTTCGTTTGTGAGAGCTGTAACAGAGTGTATTTAGTTTGAAAAACAGCTGAGGCGTTGTTGAAAACGCATGGAATTTTAATTGCCGCCATCCATATTTTATTCATCTTTGGGAATTGATTTCATTTAATTGGGAGATTCCGGACGGATTCATCTTTTCTCCGATATAGAGAAGGTGTTTTTGCTTTTTCTTCGCAAGTGAGCCATTTGCATTTAATGTACTTGAAGTGTGTTACGTAACGAGATAAAAACCACTATAACGACTACTACGTTAATTTGTTCTTAAACTTATCTAATGTGATTTGATCACAAAGATTGCTCGACAAACTATGACGAGACCTTAAAACCTTTTATGGGGATTCGCCTTGTTTATTTGTGCCTCGCCCGCAAGCTCGCTCGGCTTAATAAACGGCTCGTCCATAAAGACTCAGTTTATGTACTTGGTATATAAATAGCTATAAAAGTGTATTGTATAAGATTTCAATCGAATATGACGTGACAATACGTTGGGTACGTTCCACTTAACGCCCGTAACGATCACGACCGCGACCGCGGTTTTGTCGTTCCACTAGCTTAGAGGCGTTGTGGGCGAAACCTTAAGTGGAACGCTTTTGAGTACGTTGTGACGTCACGTGTGAGTGAACAATTTTCCAACATGGACGCCGTTGAGGAGATCGTAATGCGTAAAGGATACAAAGTGGGGTGGATTATGAATTCAAAAGTCACATTAACTTAGTAAATATTTTTTTATTTTTCAGTACCAATTATTGACACATACTTCTTCGCTTTACACAAGATATTGCTTCTTGTTAATAAAATATTGAAGACGACTTTTGAATTTCTATCATATATGTTGCCGCCATACTTAATACGATGATAATGAACACCTCCCCAGAATTTCTTGTGGGAATGCTGCTTCGAAAACAATTTCCTTCTTCATTCAAAACTAACGTGCATTCTCATTTTCATCAATCGTTGCATTACCATTTATACGAGTCTCATTCGCATTCCCTGGTAAAGCACTTTGCAGCAAACTAGTTGCAAATCTAAGATCTACAATAAAGAAAATTGTGTTAAAGCAGAATTTTCCTTAACAAATAATTTTTAACATTCAGGAATCAGCACAATATACTTACCAGTTTGTGGATGTAGAACATCCCTAGTGTAATGTCCACCACAAGGTTACGTTCTGAAACACGTAATTATAGTTTCTCCATAACGAAAACGAAAAACTTGTAACGCATGCGTGTTCGAACAATCAGTGTCTGACAGTTAAATGTCTCTAGAAATGTCTCCTGTCAAGAATGTAAGGTTATTTCGATAAATTCATTAATTAACTTTTCTACATGGTTTAAAGGCTTCACAATTTACATGTCATACTTCACCATCAAAGCCAGGGGATTATCAATTGCTTACAATTTTGCAGTAATAAGTCACTTTTATGTAATTATTTTATAATCTTACAATTAAATAAATACAAATTACTTAATTTGCAAATTAACAAGAATCTTCTGTGTCACTGTCTTCCCCTAAATTTATTATAATTGGCAGTATATCTTGCATATCTAACAATTTTTCTCTTTCATACCATTTCATTATTTCACCTTCAGTGTGTTTGATTGAATTTTTCCACATATCTGGTGTCACGACATTAACTGCTTCTTGCCACATATTTAAACAATCAGCCTCTGTTCTCCCATCTCTAGCAATATGTTTATTATAATAAGTTTTTGTTATACCCCATATTAACTCTATACGGTTAAAAATACAATGGTAGGGTGGAAGGCGCAACACTTTATGACCATATTGTTCCGCTAATTGGTCAACAAAATATGTTTTTTCTGGTTTAATTCTGGAAACTAATGACAGACGGTTCACTTAAATTTGGAAGCAATTGATTTTAAAACCAATGTAAGAAATTCGTCTGGTTCATTTCTCCGTGATAATCACCACTTGAAGTTTTATTTTTTTTTATAGGCTATTCGGGATCAAAGCCCATAAGCCACGTGGGGGTATACAAGAGTGTACTAAGGAATCACAGGGCCACACGCTTCACGATTCGGGGCCTATCGAATCGACTTTGAAATCACACAAACGATTAATCAGCTATCGGAAAATGGGTTGTATCGCACAAAGGAAAGGGGGAAAAACGGACTTGAAGTTTTTGATGCAAATAATATTAAATTTGCACCAGGTATGAATCCTTTCTCATTTCCAGCATGCACAATTATTTGTCTGTAACCTATTTTTTGCTATAATTATTGTTACCACTATTAATAATAAACCAACCGCTTTCCATCAGTTTTGATAGTTTTCAACAAATTGGCACAAATCTTTTTCCTTGAAATCTTTGTACTGGCGCAGAAAACAAATTCTTTTACTTGCCACAAGGGGTAGTTCCATTAGACCTCGCCTGGGCTCTTTTTTTCATTTAAATTCAATTTCTTTTAGCACTGTTCTAGGAGATGACAGGCTCGCCTGACGGCTCGCCAGTCAACTTCTCCTATCGCCAGTAAAAACTCACTTACTTGGCTAATAATGTAAAATACTATTATCTGTCTTCTACAAACTCCCACCAATTTTATACTATAAAATTATATTGTACTATAATAGTTATTTATGCATCAAGGGCATTAAGGCGACATTTATGCCAAGGGCGACAGGGCCCCAGGACCTCCGACCCAAGGGATTATGAGTCGCCCGAGGGTTAGATATCGAGTAATGCCTGAAGTGCATACAAAATGATATTTTTTATCGTTCCAAATCATGCATTTCCAATAGAGACAAGTAATGACTATTGTTTGCCCAACATTAAAGTGCTTCTTACGAATCAAGTAGCATCTTTTTTTATTTCTTAATATACAGAGTGACCCAACGAGAAGTATACAGAGGGCTTTTAGGGTGTTAAATTTAGAAATTTAGAAAAATCCTCGAGCACGTAGATTTTGTATTCGAGGGGGACAACTTTTGGAATACAAATTACGAATCCAAGTCTTCGCCCCTCTACGTAGGGAGCTTAATCCCTAAAATTTTAAATGGAATCCTATGGCAAATGGCACATTATTTGAAAGCCAATTTAATCCTGATTACTAATTTGCTTTGCTTTTTAAATTCTATTGATTCGTTTCAGAGAAATCATCATCAACTTTACAAAGAAAGTTCCTGCAAAATGAAAAATGTGTCCGATAGGTATTTTCGCACAATTAGGACGTTGTGCGCGGGTGCGGAAGTAATGACAACCTGGTTATCTTTAAAGCATCATAATAGCTCTTTAATTGCGCAATTTTTCCCTAATTTGACCATCGTCACATCTTGGATAGTTTCGGATGTGTATATCTTGGACACAGTGTATATTGCAAAGGGGTCCGAAAAGGCGCAAACATGTCTGGTTACGGCGCATTTGAGCGCATGGTGAAAGGTACAAGGTAGTGCAAAAAAACATGTTAAAAACGTAACTTTTGAAAACGTGAAGTTAACCCCTACAACCTTTTTGAAAATGTATCATGACTAACAGTGACTGCGCTAGCTCTAATTCAATTGGTGCAATTGAGCGTATAAGCAAATGGCATAGATTCATTTAAATATCTTAACAAATACAAAAATTGGATTGCGCATGCCCCCCCCCCCGCTTTTTGAAAATATGTCATGGCTTAAGCGTAATGGAGTTGGAGCTGAACGGTTAGCGGTGTGTGTTCTGCACAAGGCATAGTTATAGCTCCCTGCCTTTTCCTCAGCGTCCGCGTTATACACGCTATTAACTATCTCCCTTGTTTCATGTTAAGGTTTTTATCTGTTACAGAATAAGGCAGAAAAGCGCCTTTTTAATTAATACGGCCATTACGACCAGAGTTCCAAGGTGACGACTCTTTGATATAACGTTTTATTACATTACATATTGGTTTTCGATATAATCGAATTGTAATTACTATATTTGTTTGAATTGTCATTTATTAATTTTAGCTCCGCGGAAATCTGTTTTGAAATTGATAATTTTTCCGACCACGAGTTGATCCCCTAAAAATTGAGTTGAATTTAAACGTTTACATTTCAGATCTAGTGTACTATTTGCAATAATTTAAGATCGTTTATTAAATTGCTCTCGATTGCTTACGTTCTACATTGCCAATTATTTTTCTTTCTTAGTAAACCAGTTTTTCTAATAAGAACAATGTCGATGTTGACGGTTTCGCAGCAATGAATTAATTGTTTTAACAAATAAAGTTGTGCAACAAAAACGTTAATAAAGACTTGTTCGAGGGTTTCTAATCGCTTGATATGGTGAAAGGAATTGCTATCCCTTTAACTTGTAAAGAAAGCGCTCGGGTGGGTACTTAAGCATACCGTTTACAGGGGAAAGATGTAATGTGCCCCTTAGTAAATTATTAAACTAATTAGTAGACTAATTGCCTCGAAATAGGGGCGCAAATTTCTTCCTTAAAGGCGTGGTCCTAAGACGGACCTAATTACATTTAACCTTGTCGAAATTATGCATTCTAAAAGAAAATCAAAGATGACGCTCTTCGTTGATAAACCAAACCTCCTTAAATAAGAGGGCTGATTATAGATAAATGCAACAATCGTTGATGGAAATTACAATATGTCAAATATCAGCCAAAACCTAAAGAAAGATACACTTAAAGTACATTAAATGCAAATGGAGCACTTACGAAGAAGATGTAAAAACACGATTATACCCTCTCTATAATATAATAGTAAAGGTGAATCCGTTCAATACGGCGGAATCTCCCAATGAAATAAATTCAATTGCCAAAGATTAATAGAATGTGGATGGCGGCAATTAAAATTCCATGCGTTTTCACCAACGTCTCGACTGTTTTTCCAGCGAAATACAATCAGCTAAAGCTTTCACAAACGAAAGAAAAAGACGAAGGCCGACAACCGATAACCACGGCGCGGCAAATTGCGTGGTTAAAATTACAACGATAGATTGAGTTATCTCCTCCAAGGTTACGACTGTTACGAGGATCTTTCAATAAGTATTGTAACGAAGAAAATAAACCGTTATAGAGTGCGAGGATTGCACGCTTTTTTTTCTAAGAGGGTCCGTTTTTTCATGTTCGGATGGCTTTAGTGGTCCGAACGCTAGTTCGAGGAGGGTCATGGCTTCGTCCAGGTGGAGAATGACCTTCCGTTGGTGGTCTTCGGGTCGATGAGAGTTCGAAGGAGCATTTCAATTGTGAATGCACTTGGTGGGTTTCCTTCGGGCATCTTTGATCTTGCTCTTGTTGGCGGCGTCTTGAAAAACACAGTCCCCCGTTGTGTGCCACTGTTATTGGGTTATGTATGGTACCGAAATTATACACTGGTGGGTAAACTAACTTTATTTACACACACGAATATCAAACTATATGACCTCGTACGGACGTGTGAGAGCGTTATGTGAGTGGCGTGTGCACAGGTGTAGGAAAGGGTCGTTACAAACTTTGTGTTTTACTATCACCAACATTACAATACCACAATTTACTATCCTACTAGTGTTTAAAGTATCGTAAATAGTTTCAACGCAAATTATTTGGTTATCGCATTACTTCCATTCCATTTTAAGCTTGTATTTCACGGCGCAATACCAGTTAGTAGTCATGATGTGTTTCCCGTAGGCCGTAACAGTTCGCATCCCTATTTTCCACCTTCCTTCTGGCATGCCCGGAGGAAACTTAGTACTATCAGGCACCCAATCCCTTAATGTATATTTCACCTACATCGATGGTTAAAATAAGGGTGGGCGTGTCTAATTAGAACTTACCCCTTTAATGAGAGGCCATTCGAAGCTTGGTGTCGTACAGGAATGCATCATGCGAATTATATCAAAGTACTTGAAGCGAATTGCATCTTTGATTGTCAAGTTGAATTGGAGAATGTCCAGGCGATAACGATTACTCAGCCATTTGTAACCCGTTACCATTATCTAAAAATTACTTAGTATCTATTTTTAGAACATTCCAATCCTATTTATAAAACATTCCAATGATAACACAAAAACATCCGGAGTTCCTGACATCTGACGATTAAAAAGGAAAATATTCGAATGGTCAAAATAAATGGTTTGTAATGCTGCCATCTAATGTCAATGTAACGCTCCACTTTCGATCGCCCACGGACTTTAAACGATCGAACTGCTCCTAGCGGCGGCCAGTTGGCACATTGGTCACAAACTGTTATATGGATCCGCGCTCTGATAGTTATAAATTCAATGTCAATACTTATGCCTAATAAAACAAATTATTATTTCTTATCTTTAAAAAATCGACATAAATTTCCGAAACTAAGCAAATATGTCTATTTCTAATTCTAATATCTTCTAACAACTAAAAGTTGGAGAAAAAATTTATAAGAGCAAGAGATAAAATTGATACAAATAATTCACCTCTTACCCGTTTCAAAGGCTTCCAATAAATTGTGAAACGGTCAAATACGTTTTAAACTAGAAAACGTGATAAGGAATTTATAGAAAATCTCTGAACGATAACTTTTCCTATTAATTTCCAGTGAAAATTGTTTCGTAATGTAAGGCGAGGTTTCCCAAACCGAAATTCAAACCAAAGCAACTTATTATCGCAGTCGACCTTCTCCCCCACTGTATTTCGTGAAAAAACTATGTTTTAAAAGGTGTTGTTTAAAGTGATATTTTGTTATTGGTCTCGTACTCACAATTAGCACATTTAAAATCTTTAGAATCGATATGTTTTAAAAGGTGTCGTTTGAGATGGTATTTGTCACTTGTCGCGTAATCACAATCGGCACATTTAAAATCTTTCGAATCGATATGTTTTAAAAGGTGACGTTTAAAGTGATATTTGTTATTTGTCTCGTAATGACAATTAACACATTTCAAATCTTTAGAAACAATATGTTTTAAAAGGTGTTGTTTAAGGTGGTATTTTTGTCATTTGTCTCATAATCACAATTGGCACATTTCAGATCTTTACAATCGGTTGTTTGAAAAGGTGACGTTTAAAGTGGTATTTGTTATTTGTCTTGTATTCACAATTAGCACATTTAAAATCTTTAGAATAGGTATGTTTTAAAAGGTGTCGTTTAAGGTGGTATTTGTTATTTGTCTTGTAATCACAATCAGCACATTTAAGATCTTTAGAAACGGTATGTTTTAACAGGTGTCGTGTAAAATAGCGTTTGTTGCTTGTCTCATAATCACAATTTGTACATTTAAAATCTTTAGAATCGATGTGTGTTAAAAGGTGTACTTTAAGATATCGTTTATTATATGTACCATAATTACAATGAGCACATTTAAAATCTTTAGAATCGGTATGTTTTAAGAGGTGTTGTTTAAAGTGATATTTGTTATTTGTCTTGTATTCACAATGAGCACATATAAAATCTTTAGAATCTGCATGTTTTAAAAGGTGTTGTTTAAAGTAGCCTTTGTTATATGTCTCGTAATTACAATGATCACATTTAAGATCATTAGAATCGGTATGTGTTAAAAGGTGTTGTTTAAAGTAGTATTTGTTATTTGTCTCGTATTCGCAATTAGCACATTTAAACTTTTTAGAATCAATATGTCTTAAAAGGTGTTGTTTGAGATATTGTTCAATATTGGTTGCATAATCACAATGAGCACAGTTAAAACTTTCTGAAACATTGTGTTCCAACTTACTGTTTCTGTGTTGACTGAAGTCACATTCAAAATCGTTGGAAACTTCAGTTTTAATATTCCATCCACAATCAGTTTGTTGTTGTACTTCTTCATCAACCAGCGATTTGGAGCACTGGGCAGCAATGGTAATTTCGTCCTTTATGGTAACCAATGCTTCGTTGCTTACTAAAATGTTTTCTTCGAAATCGGAATGGATTTCTTCTTCAAGTTTTGTTTCGATTTTAACGAGTGATTTGCCGCCATTTCCGTCCATATCTAGAATCAAAATAACGGGTTACACTTATGTTTTTCGTTTTTCAAAATTACTTACCGGACACGTTTCCTGGCTGCAGCTCAAGTACCGGTAAGGGTCAACTTTAGGTTCATAGCGTCTCACGTCCAGTGGCGGAGCGAGAGGTTTTATTTTATACTGTATCCCAATTAGATTGGAGTGATCACATACAGGGATGTGACTTGCGTGACGCTCCATAGGGATTTCAATGTAAAATTCATAACATGCGATTATTGGCTCCCCAAATTATTTTAGAGCAAAAATGTATTAAGGTTTTTTGTAGAAAAAAATTTTTACGTCATTCAACCGTATTAGTTTTCAATTTTTTGCATAATAAAGACGGAAAATTGGAAAAATAAAACCCGCATCTTTTGTAATAATCTGCGATGCCATGGAAATTTATAATACAAAAACAACGCCAATATCCGTCATGCCATGGAATGTCTGCGTTAAAACAAATCAAATTCTATCAAAAAGTATTATTTAGAACAGCGAATTCAACATAAAGATCTAAACGATTATTCCTAATATAACAATTTACAATAAATGTTCGAATACGTCACCATTAACTGCAAGACAGTAACCAAGTCGATCATAAAATCCATTTCGAACTGCTGCTAATTGATAACTGGATATCTTCTTGTTTTAGAAAATTCCATGGTATCGCAGATTATTAAAAAAGATGCGGGTTTTATTTTTCCAATTTTCCGTCTTTATTATGCAATAGTTATTTACGTTATAAGGCCGGGAAGTGGCTTATTAAAGTACGAGTTTAGGTGTTTACGGACGAGGCGACGAAGGAGCCGAGTTCGGAATTTCTAAATTGATCTTTTGTCATGAGAGGTTTCACCCTGTAGGTATATACAACTACGGCGATACATACATTTTTGAGAGTTGGCAACCATGCAATATCTAGGTGGGAAAAAGCTGCCTGCGCCAACTAAAAAGCACGTTGAGCATCTTATCTTGAATGGCGGTCGTGAACGCGTCGCTCCATAAATGTTTGTTGATATTTTTTGTTTTTTTAATGCAGGTAGTAATCTTTGCATTTCTTTATATCGTATTTGTGTTTTCAATTCCACATTTTATATTTTTTGTGGGTTTGAATCTTTGTTTTTGAAATTTCCTTGGTTTAACCGCAATGCATAATCACATATGTGATACCGTTATGCTATTGTTTGTAATTGTTTACATTTTTGGTGTAATGCTTGCTTAATTTATGTTTATTGATGTTGATTACTTGATCTTGTCCTCGAAGTAACATTCATATAAGTTTTGATAATTTTATTTTAATATGTGGAATTTACCGATTCGTTTGATGTATGTTCTGAGTTGTTTGTTACTAACCATTTTCTCCGTCAATGAAGCAGTCACAGGGGTGGTAAAAACTTTAGTCAAAATTGAGCTACGACACCTAATTCCGTGATTGTCTTCGACTTTGAACTGTAGGCTGGAAACCCCGAAACCAGGGGCGGACTACCTATCTTGCAGGAGTGGGATTACGCTAATCAAAGCTCTTCAGTTTTGAATCTATGTGCGATAAATGAGTTATGATTCGTAATTTCGACATATCTTGTTTTTAGTTAGATTTGCTAACTTGCTTTTAACAAAAGGATTTTATTGCACCAAAGATGAGTCACCATGGCCATTTTTAAACGTTACCGGGTTGGCTTTATTGCCGTGTTCTTGTAGTGTAAAGTTAACGTAGAACCTGGGGGTTAAGTACACTACAGTCAGTTGAATAGAAATCAAAATCCTTTAAAGACTCAGTGTAAACATTTCGCAAATTGAATTGTGTTGCTATCTGCAATCAAGTGGCCTCAAGTAGAAGTGCGATCCTTGAAGGTAAGTTCACTAAAGATTCGTGGTCGCCATTTTAGACTTAAAAAATTTTAGTTTTAAATTTAAAAAATTTGCCGATTAACTAATATGCGAGAAAATGAAGCGCGTTAAGATAAGAAGCGAGTGTAAAACCAGATAAGGATTGAAACGCCGGGCACGCACTGCTAGAGTGCTCACGTCCATTCGGAAACTTTCAATCTACCACCACCCTCCTAACTGATTCAGTCATCGGTCTGGCCCACCGACACAGTTGATAGTTTGACGTGGGTTACTCGTGCAGCCTAAGCATTATTCCGCTCAAAACGGCGTTGGTGCCTTTTACCAGAAAGAGCAATCTCAACTTATCATGGGCGTCACCACCATCTATCTTAGTAAAGAGTTCAAATACCCGGGAGGGAACTCCTATATTTGGGTAAGGTGATAAAAAAGACAACCCTGGCACGTAGAAGGCTACTGGAACTGGGGCTTAACGCCTAAACGGACCAACTGGTCCTATGAAACTATCATCAGATCCATGGTCACACACAATCTTGAATTGTTGGATGTCGAGCATCTTTAAAAGAAACGTGTAGTCCAAGACGCTCAGGATATAAAATGAGAAGTTTCATGAGTCCCAGGCTTCAATATTTGGATTTAGACGTTTTGCGAAAAATGCGGCGTCTCGTAAAAGATCAAAAAGCCCAATAAAGGTAGCGGACTAATTCTTTAATTTCTTTATATTTTTATAGCCACATGATTGTGTACATCTATAATAAGTATTTAATCTGTTGGTGTTGTTTACTCAACCACTATTGCACGTTATACCGGTCCATAAACGATTTTTTTTCTATTTTTAACACCAGATACTGCGTATGACTGCAAATTTAATTGAACAAATTGTAATGGAATAATTACTTTGACCTTGACACAATTAGTCATTTGGAAAAATTAAAGCAGATTTTTCCTGTAAAATTACGACAAAGTCAATGAATCCAAAGATCAGAGGTTAATATTAATATTTGATCCTCGATTTGATCATACAAGTACGTCACATCCGGGCTCTCACCTGGAGGTCTCTTTGCATGCTCTCCAGTGAGACACTCTCGCTACCTCCCCTTATTTTCACTTTAACGTGGTAGGTACCTACCTACTGTAGAGCTCGCCAAACTTTCCATCGAAAAGGTGAAG